TTTGAGAAATAAGTCGAGAGCCCTGTTGTGTCATTTCTGAAGAAACTTTTGATATATATTTTGTAACCATTATGCAAAATATATGCAAAATGCTATATATTATAAGTTTTGATATATATATTTTGTAACCATTAACTTATCGTTGCTTTAAAATCAGATTTTAACAACGTTAAAAAAAAATGAAACTTTTCAAAAGGCTGAATATTACGAGTTTTAGCAACATTCACTAAACGTTGCTGTAAAATTAGATTTTAATAAACGTTGTAAAATATGACATTAGCAGCATATATTTAAAAAAATGTTGCCAAAACTCAATTATGTTAACCAATGGTAACATTCACTTATTAAAATTTTGCGATAGACTCTTTTAGCACACTCATTAACAAATGTTGCATTTTTAATGTTGCAAATGGTCATTTTTGCTGTAGTGAGAGAATATCAATTTTATGCTTCTTTCTTTACGTAATTGGTAAAAAAATAACATTGAAACAGCGAGAAAATTTCAATACATGTAGATACCTCTTTTCCTTCATGTCTAATTTAGAGATGCAATTATTAATATTTTTTGTTTTTCTATACATTAAGAGACTTGAGATTTTCAGTTAAAATGTTATAATAATTAAATTATAGTATCATCGGTATTTTAACGTATATCATATTATTTAAAATTTATTTTTTTAACTTATACACCAGATACTCAATTTTTTGATATGTTTTAATACATCAACATATGACATAATTTAACCATATATAAAGTTAATAACTATTTAAAATGATAAAAATTAAGAAAAGACTGTGCATAAATCCTTTCACAATTTACCTATTTTTGAAAATTTAACAGTATTAGGAAAATTTAAATATTTTTGAAAATATAAAAGTTTTATTGAATGCAAATTTTAATTGGGTCCGTACTTTTTTCCTTTTGTGGTTAGTTAAAATACCTTGTTTTATTTACATCATAAAATTTTGACATTATGTTCAAACCTTCTATTTTCTCCTATTCACCTTTTTTACAACAATATTTTCAAATCTTATGTTCATATTTAATTAGGAAAATTTATAAATAAAATGTTTTAATTATCAATTTTTCATTAAATATATTTTCTTTAAATGATTTTTTATAAGATTTATTTCTCTTTTTTACCTAAACTCCAACATCAAATCAATAAAAAATAATTTTAGTAAGTTAATAAAATATTGAAAAAAAATTAAAAAATACTTCATTTGACTATTTTATTTAAGAT